GGCCTTATTCGAATAGTGCTATACCACGTTCGATCATTCGTAGATGTGAATTGTGAATTGAACAATTGGGTTTACATTTCGAGCAACTACTTTAGATTTTGTATGTTTTTCCTAACTATCCAATAGCATTTTTGTTGTAAATAATTAATTTAATTTGTTAAAAATAATATTGGAAAATTAAACAAATAAATATTTTGTTTTTTTTGTGTTTATTTGGAGTTAGGAATTATTGCTGTGTTTAAAAACACAATCTAAACGATCATCTTAATTACTTGTAATGCCCAAATCGAAAATGTAAAAAAAATATTATTTTCCCATAAATAATTAAAAATGCATCGAACCTTAAAAATCGAAATATCTCAAAAACGGCTAACTATAACGAAAACTCACAGGAGAGCCTTTTTATGCAGAAAAGTGCGAAGAATAAGTTTTTTTATTGGAAAAGCAAAAAATTGCACTAAGAAAAAAATTTTCGGTCATTTTAATACACTACAGGTACAGTAGAGAGCGCCCTCTAGCGGCTACAGATAAACTATGCCCATGGTTCGTTTTGTCGTATCAAGAAACTCTTGTATACCAATTTTCACTGTTATACATCAAATGTTGTTCGAAATATTTAAAAAAAACTATTTTAAAAAGTAAATTTAAACACCCTGTATTTCGGAAGCCACGCATTTTTCGACCCATGTTTATATAGACTTTATGCATTAATTTTAAAAGTTTTATCGAATCTTAAAGTTATGCAACAATAAACTGATACACCCTGTACATATAAATTAGCTCCTTAATGTTATGAATACCACAGCCAAATTACAACAAAATTAGTTAAAGGATATTTGAATGTTCTTTTTATTTTAAGATCTTGAGAATGAAGAATCTGCGGACCTATGTTTATATGAACATTTTGTCTTGAAAGTACTTAGAAAATCGTCTGTCAAATTTATGGTACATACTTAATTAACACCCTGTCGCCAAGCAGCCGCACAGGTAGAGTCCTAAATACCAGGCCACCGCGGCTGCTATCAGTAGCTAAAAGAAAAAACTGCAAAGTGTTATTTGATTGTCCTGGTCTGAATGATAGAAAGAAAGAAGGACCCCCTGACCACCTGCGTGACAAACCATTTGAATGACACTGCCCAAACATAGTAGAACTGGGCAGATTGTTCAACAGCCCCGATACCCTAGAGGCGAAGACGCAGTCATATCGGCCAGTTCTAGATGTATGAAGTGCCGTGCAGTTAGGATAGAATGCCCAGGTCAGGCGGATCTGTCTGACAGAGAGCTAGTTCGTCGACACGAAAAGGTCCCTAGACTGTACGTTAGAGAAGAGCCGCCGATCAGTCGGACAGCCCTCCTGTAAACAGAATAGATCATGGATAATGTACTCGGGGCGGCTGTACCCGAAACATGTGAGCAGTACTCGAGGCTAGGACCTTGTAGAGACACAGAGAGAGAAGGTCATGTGGTGTAAAGCACTTTCAGCCCTAAACAAATAGCCTAGTTTTTCGCAACAGATGCTGCTATTGACGAGATGTGTTCGTGCCAGGTCAAGTCTTAGGTGATCTGGACTCCGACCAGCCGAAATGAAAGGTACTTTGGCCATCCATCGAAACCGAATTGTGAATATCTCTAAATTATACATTTATCGGCCACAGAAACATACTCCCAGCCAAAATTATAAAGATACGCTCCTGTAGTGTGTTCAACTTTTACGTTGATTTAGCTTTCACTGCTTCCTTGTCTATGTATTAATCATTTATACTCGGAATCTTAGACTTAACTAATAAAATGTAGTATCACCTCGAGTAGCACCTTGTTCGTTATTTTGCTACAAATGGTCCCATCATAAACGTCCAAAGTCTCACATATGACACGTTAACTGCAATGCTTGCTACAAATCTCTTTTTCACTTTAACGTATTTATGACGGTCATTTTCCTTGGAAACGAGTATACTTTATGTTGCGGAAAGATAAAGATGAAGGCAAACGTGCGCTGATATAGCAAATACAAGTAATATTTTATCTTTCATGTGAATGCTCGAGGGAGGCTAATGCTTTGGATATTATATGCAGGTATATTTCCTGATGGAGTGCCAACTTACAATGCTATCATGATTTATAATGATTTAGAGACGTAGAGGTCACATTATATTGTAATTTTTATAATGTGCCTAATAAAGACATTTTATTATTATTATTATTATTACTATATATGATTTTGTCAAAGTTATCCATTGGCTGAATAACAGAAAATTAAAGATTAATTACTCTTTTCCATTTTATTCATATTCCAGACATCTACTAAAATACACAAACATCTCCTTTATCATAAATAATCAGAAACTAGAAATTAACAGACCACCAGATATAATAAATCTTGCAATATTCCTGGATACACACGTGCATTGTAATGTTCATATTTCATGTATTTGAAAAAAATTAGATAAAAAAATTAAGTATATCAAAAATATTTTAAAAGAAAAATATCTCTATACCTTATAACATACCTTGATCGAGCAACAATTAGCCTACGGTATATTGGCATTCGGAGCTACAAGCTCAACTCATATTTATGATTTGGATATTTTGAAAAAAAATAATTTTAAAAACAATGTAACAAATCAAAATTGTATCCAACTGATGTCTTATAACTACAAAGATACACATGTATATGACTTAAAACAGCTGTATCTCTAACATGCTATAACCAACTATCACAAATTTATCAATAACGACAAAAAAAATATTAAACACCATCAGCCCACAACAGGAACACTTCGCTCACCGGCTGCAATAGCGGCACAAATAAAAAAAAACAAAATCGTACTTTCAATCGCGAATCATCCATCAATATTCACTTCATCTCCTGCAATACTGGCACAACCGTATATTGTGATAGAAACCGCTAGATGGCACTTGTGCCGTACCCAGTAGCGTGCTAGTAGCCTTGCGGAAGTTGTGTGGGACGCACGTAGTAGTGACACTTAAGGCTGAAAACCGTCATTTTCCTGAATCCTATTTTGTGCAGGTAAGCAATAGCGACATATTTCAAGATGTGCCTTCATTGCATCAAAGTAGTGGACAAATTTTATTTACACTGGTAAGCAATAATAGCATAATTCGAAATGTGCCTTTCTTGAACCTAGATAGTGGTCAATGCATATTTATGCAAGCTATCACTAGTGGCATATTTCGAAATATGCCATTATTGCACCCAAACTGTGGTCAAATTATATAAGCGAATACGGTAATATTGCGATGTGTGCCATTCTTGCATTGTATGTTATGCTACAAAACTGATAAGTATTTTCCAAAGCCTACGCAAACAGAAATCTGTTTTGTATGATGTAGCTTATTTTTGTGGCTGAAAAGTAATGACAAAAATTGCTCTCGCAATTTTGAAAATTGTTTGTGTCTTTATGATGTTTATTGATCCATTTTAAAGAAATTTATAGCATTCAAGTATTAGTAGTATACATTGTTTCAGTTATTGTCGGGTACAATGAAAAAAACGAGGAGCGCAAAAATGCTCTCTATGGTAGGGATCAAATTAAAGAAAGGACCCACCAGCGAAGAGTGGAAGATAGTACCTCAAGCTACTAATGCAGACTCAACCAGCGTAACGCCTAAAAACATAGAACGAGCTTCAGAAAGTGAAGCGGACAAAGAAAACACATCTCCACAAGTCCCGGAAGCTTCTGTTAGGAGTAAGAAATTTGAAAAAGATGGTGATTGCAAGCTTGTTGAAAACCAAATAGTAGAGGAACTAGGCGTAGGAAGTCTTTTTCCATCAGATAATTGCAGAATTCAAGAAAGAGAAGCAGTTTTAGATGGAGAGTCATGTGCTACAACTACACAAGAGCTCTCGGAGGCGGAAGAAAGCAGAGACGAAATTGGAACTGGACAAGAGCAGTTGGACTTAGAAGATCATTTTTCATCTGACGATTCAATAATGGATCCTGACTATGAAGAACCAGTTGTATCACAACATTCTCAATGCCCGACGAAATCATGCACAGAGAAAATGAAGAGTAGGAAGAGAAAAGCAGAGCCCTGTGAATGGAAAAGAAATAAAACAAAGCTATTAAGGAACAGTGGACAAGAATACCACACCTTAAACAAGAATAAACCAGTATCTAGTAGACAAATGACACAACCCTGTGACGGCACTTGCAAGCTAAAATGTACAGCAAAATTCACTGAAGAGGATAGGAAGTTCCTGTTCACCAAGTTCTGGAATTTAGCCAATATTAACAAACAGAGGGTGTTTATTGCTACTCTGATGCAAGAAATCACACCAAAATACACGTATCCCATTCTAATCAATTTCAAACGAAAACGAACTAATAATAATTCGTTTCATTTGGAAAAAGGAGAAGAGAAACTTAGGGTTTGCAAGAAATTCTTCACATCAACTTTTGGCATCAGCAATCGCTGTATTCGGAGGGTCATATCGAAAAGAGCTGAAGGTGATTTTGAAGACAAAAGGGGGAAACATGCTAATCAAACCCGAATATCTCATGAAATTAAAAATGATGTTCGTGCTCATATTGCATCAATACCTCAAATAGAGAGTCACTATACAAGAGCTCACAGTGAGAAAAAATACATAGAAGGTAGCAAAACTATCACTGATTTATACAGAGATTACAAAAAAGATTGCGTTGCTAGAGGTAAAGCAACGGCAACACTGACTATGTATAGAAACATATTCGATTATGAATTTAACCTAGCATTTTTCATTCCTAAAAAAGATCAATGCCACACGTGCGTTGCCTATGGCAACGCAAATGAAGGGGAAAAGAAAGAATTAGAAAAGCTATATGAGCAACACCAAAATGAAAAAAAATTAAGCAGAGCAGAAAAACTAGCCGACAAAGAAAAAGTCAGTGATAAATACCAGGTTTTGTTGTTACGACTTACAAGCTGTTCTGCCATGTCCTCAAGGAGATGTTTCTGACTTTTATTATAAATCAAAACTGTCGACGTATAACTTCACTATGTGTGATTTGAATAAAACGGGACAGGGACAAGTGGAGTGTTTCATGTGGCATGAGGGTCAAGGAAGACGCGGGTCTAATGAAATTGGTTCATGCTTACTAAAATACCTTGAATACAAGGCTTCTGCTCAAGAAAATGTAGAAGTAGTTTTTTATTCTGACAACTGCGCTGGACAGCAAAAAAACAAATTTATTCTCGCTGGATATTTTTATGCATTATCAAAATACAACATAAAATCAATTACACACAAATACCTTATAAGAGGACATACGCAGAACGAAGGCGATAACGTTCATTCGGTTATTGAAAAACACGTTAAACGTGCCCTGAAATCAGGTCCAATATATACACCTGACCAGTACGTATCACTGGTTCAGACAGCCAAAAAGACTGGATTACCTTACAAAGTCCAAGAAATGAGCTACGCCGATTTTGTAGATCTAAAAAAGTTATCTGAACAGACATCTTTTAACTTTAAGAAGGACTCTTCCGGTGAGGTTGTAAAGCTGGCTAATGCAGCCATCATAAGGATAGAAAAAGAAAATCTAGATAAATTTTTATACAAAACTTCTTATAGTGAGCCTGAATATAGAGTTGTTGAGATTAAACAAAGAACTACCCGAACAAATCAAACTTTCGATAATGTGAAGTTGGAACCGGCTTATCGAGATATACTTCCGATATCAAAAAAGAAGTACGATGGACTGATGTTCCTGTTACGCATGAATACTATAAAGAAATGTTATAGCCCATTCTATAACAGCCTTAAAGTATCTAACGATGTCGATTAGTTTCTCTTTAAAACTTCTGTATCATAAAATTATTAGCTAGAATTTTAGTTGCGCGTACCTTTCATTTCCAAAAAAGTTACAGGTTCATTTGTTTCCAAAGTACATTGTTTAGTTCTTTATAAGATTTTTTGTATCGCATTTTAATGCGCAGGTTCTGTTGTTGAGCGATAATTAAAATTTTGAAAAGTATGATACTGAGTATTTACCATGCTCCAACTCCAAAAATGACAACAATTACGTTCATAAAACGGCACAAGTCAAAATTAAAAAAAAAACAAAATGTCATATTTAAAAGAGAACTCAAATTCTGATTGATATTATGTATTGTAATGCCAATGCCAGAAAATCCGTATGAAAGCGAGATCACCTAAGAGTCACGTTACACGTCAAAATAATTAAATTTGTTTTGGCTATTCTTAAACCAGCTATATCTCGAAATTATATAGTTTTGATTTGTGCCAATGTTGCAGCCGGTGAGCGACTTGTACATAGATCAAATAAATCTATTACATAATAATCATACCTTTATTTAGGTATAAAATTATACATAAATTTATCCGACGCTTTCGAAGTAAGTTCAGGAAAAAGCTAAAAGAATGATTTTTTCACTGGCAAGACCAGACGTATACAAATTAATAGTAAATGTGATCAAATAATTCGTTGTCCATGTACAGACAATGCCTCCTATCGCCCACTACTACATAATTTATTTACTCATTCTTTGTACTTTGTTTCAAGACTAAATAAATATTATCGTTATTATTATTATTCATTCAAGGGTTGCATTAATTTCATGTGCATTAGTTGAAACGTTGATCTAGAATGCAGATGACGTGGATCCGAACCACATCAGTGGTTCCGTTTTTTCTTCTCCTTTGATATGTGCCTTCAGGTGTATTTCCATCCGGAGCAATTATTGTACCCAATTGTATTCCAGTGTTCAGGGATGGAGGAAGGATTGAATGTTCGCATGTTGCAGCAAGGACCGGGATGTGCGGGCGACCGGGCAGCAACATTGATCAAAGGATCCCTAACGGCTAGACTGCCGGCAAACACAGAAAGCTATCAGCGAGAGGGAGAAAAACACGAGTCATCCTTATCTACAGTGGCGTAGAATAATTACTCAAAGGAAGCGCATTGCAGATTAAAAAGCATCTTCCGATTGAAGAGCGCAATTTTTCTTGAAACCTGAGAACAAAGACGACGTCGCAGAACGCTAAAGTGCCGCGTACTCCTAATATCCAAATATCGCTGAAACATATAAATATTTTATTTATTTGTCTGTCTTTGACGACACCACCAGTTGAAAGTTACCCATTTTATAGTCGTCAGTGGCACATTATTTCGAATTCGAATCGAAAAGACGTTAGATTTACAACTCGCTGCACCCTACAACCCCAGCCAAAAGTTTCGCACGCTACAGAAAATTTTCCGAACACCACCTGCGCAATTATGTCTCTTTGTCATCATTGTTGGTGTCATGCGCTCTCTTTTCTTGTTATCCCTTCGTAATATTTGAATCTATACTAAGTAAAATTTCAAAATGATTGCACTGCTTTAAAGCCCTTTGACCTTTAATAATGTGCTACGCATTCTCCAACACGCCTAGGCATGCTTCTGATCAGGTGGTCAATGTCTTTCTGTGGTATCTCATTCCAGGCAACCACCAACTCCTCTCGAAGTGCTTCTAGAGTCTGAGAAGGACGTTGCAAATTGAGCAATCTCCTACCCATCATATCCCACACGTGCTCAATTGGGGATAAGTCGGGAGATCTTGGTGGCCATGGTAACAATGTGACATCATTATGTTGAAAGAAGTCTATTGTGACTCTTGCAACATGTGCTCGGGCATTATCTTGTTGGAAAGTTGGATCTGCCAGGGTGTCAAGATAGGGTAAAAGATGGGGTTCTAGAACTTCGTGGATATAACGCTGCGCGTTCATGTTACCTCTGATGAAGATTAAAGTTGACCTGGAACCATAAGCTATAGCACGCCAAACCATAACTCCAACAGTGTGATGAACATGTCTTTCAACAAAAAACTGTGGATTCCTCCTTTCACCACGTCGCCTTCTAACCCTGGCACGACCATCGTGCATGCCTAAACAAAATCGAGACTCGTCACTAAAGACAATACTGTTCCATTCCTGATCCCAGAGTGACCGTTGTCTGCACCACTCAAGGCGATTACGTCGGTGTTCTCGAGTTAAAGGGAGGACCCAGTGTGGCCGGTATGAAAACAAGCCAAAACTTCTCATTCGTCGGTAAACACTTCGCATGCCAATAGGTTTTCCGTGTTCTGCAAGCGATTCATTTGCAATGGACCTGGTAGTGGAGAAACGGTCCCTTAAGGCCAATAATCTTAGGCGGCGATCTTCACGGTCTGTTGTTCTACGGCGGCGTCCAGTGCCCCTTGCTCTTTGCGTACGGATTTCTCGAAGCCATGCCTGACAACACCTAACCACAGTGTCTACACTTCTTTGCACTCTTACTGCAATTGCCCGAAAAGAAAGTCCAGCTTCCCGAAGTCCCACTATACGGCCCCTATCAAACTCACTCAGTTGACGAAATCGTACAAGTCTCCGTACTCTAGGCATCGTAACCGATCGTAAAGGATGTCAAGAACCAAAATCCGCCAACGTTGATTCTTTACTGCGGCTGAAATATTCATTTTTAGAGCGTTAGTGAATTAAAAAAAAGCAGTATAAAAACCGGAATGTCCAACTGATAAGGCTGAAAATTTTTTCACTTGTTGTTTACAGTAAGATAAATACATTCACCAACTTTTATTAAAATAAAACCATTTAAACTGGGGGTTCGGATTTATATGTCACTTAGTATATATGAAACTGTACCACGTTCCTGCCGACATGTTTAGTTTTAATAATTTCTCCGTTTATTCGTTCGGACTGTATTTGAATTTGAAAACTTCATGTATATATTTTAAATTGATCTTTTTTGTATAATGTGACCTGTGAAGTTGTTGCTCTCATATTTTCTGATATTTCTCTCCGCTTTTAAATTTTAACTTGTTACCTGAACCTGTATTAGTGTTTTACTGTTTTTTATAGTTCTTTTTAATGCGGTATCAATTCATCTGATAATAATACCAAAGGTGAGCTTAAACGTACTTAAACATAATGTGATAATAATAATTTTTTTTATTGAAAATATGTTTTTTTTTAAATCATAGGAAAAAACACATGTTTTACTGTTCATTTCAAAAATCGTTTATTTTCATTCAAGGAGATTTGTGAACGTAATTTTTTGAAAACGATATCTCCTAAATGACCGCCATGAGCCTGTACAGCGAAAAGTGCCCGTGATACAGCATTTTCCATCGTTTTGGCCAATGTTTCGGTTGATATGGCGGCTCTTTCCTGTCGGATGTTGACCTTAAGTGCGTCAAGGGTCCTTGGCTTGTTGACATAGACCTTCGATTTCAAGTAGCCCCACAAAAAGAACTTTGGAGCCGTTAAATCTGGTGAACGCGGTGGCCAGCCAAAATCACCATTTTTCGGCATCAGACGTCCAGGGAACAATCGTTTCAAAAAACCGATAATAGCTCGAGCTGTGTGAGGTGGAGCGCCATCTTATTGAAACCAGAAATGCTCCATACCATTGTCACGAACAACTGGCATCAAAAAATCGGTTACCATATCGCGATAACGCTCCTGATTGACGGTAACCGCTTTGCCAGCTTCATCTTCGAAAAAGAACGACACAGTGACCATACCAGCACAAACATCGCACCAAACAGTCACTTTTTGGCCACAAAGAGGTATAATTACTGTTATTATTATTACTATTATTATTATTTTCCATATTTCTCTACCATTTCCTGAATAAGTAAATAAACATTTTCGAAAGTTTGATATGAACACTGAACAAACTTTCTTTCTGGCCTCCTGATTTCGTTAAGAGTTTTATTTTGCATCTTAGCAAGTCCGACCACCCCCCTCCTCGCTCCATAGTCTTAACTAGGTATTAAGTTGACCATAAATTCTTCAGCCTTATACTCCAAAATTGACAAAATCAATATCTCCATCTCTTACAAAATCGTTGCTCGAATAGCAAAAATAAATATATATGTATATATAATAAAAATAATAATAATAATCGTCTTTATTTAAACTGTACTTCATACAGAAACAAGAGTTGCATATGGTGGCGAAGTTTAGCAACATGCTACTCTTACACTTAACCACCCATGCAAAAAAAACAAGTTGTTAAGTAGCAGATATCAAACAAAATATACATACACCTTGGGAAAAAATATTATTATACATTATGATGAGGAAGAGAGATGGAAATATACAAAAGTATGTAGGTGCGTGAAAGACACTCGATTGTAGGATCATATCTGGCAGCGTCGGAGTGTGACGGACAACGGGGTAAAGTAGAAGAGTGATAAAAGAGAGAGATGGCAGAACGGGCGCTGGCGCCTACCGCTTAGACGGATTCGCAGAGTTGCCGATACCAATATGTCATATTTCTAAGAAATCTAAGTCTACCCAAATTTCGGGAAAAATAGCTGCGGATTCCACATAAGAGTATTCCAAAAATGAAAAAAGTTCAAACTATTAAAATTGTATTAATGTTTCATGGTTCAAATCATATTTTTCATGTTTGTATATTGTTGTATAAATGATTTTGTAATCCCTATTCTTGTTGCCAGTAGAGATACAACAGTATTGAGAGAAATCATGGACCGCTAGATAGGGCTACAACTACCATATGACTATCAAATAGTAGTGATAAACAGGGTTTGTTTATAGCACAGTTGCCTGGTGTGGCGAATTTGCGCCATAGGGGCGATTTGACAACTTTGAAGGACAACTATAACGGTTACCATGGTGCCCGGTATTCGGGAATCTGGCAATACCTGATGATTCCTAACGTTTATTACGCCAGATTGTTTGCTGACTTGCGCAGTACAACATGACAATCAACGTGACTGAGCACCTGGTAACCCTGGTTTAAGGTGTTATATTTAAAGA